GGGAGTAGCCTTTGTTTATTCCATCTTTAAACCTTTTGTGGGCATAACGGCAGCAGAATAGAGATGGAAAGTAGAACACCAGGTGATGATATCTTCTCTATTCAGTACCATAGCAGGAAAAAATTGGGAGATGGAGATGATGTACCCAACAGCACCAACCTAATTAACAATCCCTATGGAAATAATCTACATTGTGTATTATTCTGAATAGCTGACTTATAGTCTTTGTGGTATGTTAGCCAAGCAGAGAGTTCTTCTTATTGTTGTTAGTCACCCATGGAATAGAGACCCTATTAAGGGAAACCTGAAAAAAATAAGGCTCAACCAAGCTTCAATCCCATAAGTGGGTTTTATTATACTGACTAATATATTATAAGGTTTTAGGATGCAACACAATACAATCTCAGACTACCCCTTGTCTAAAAGCCTAATGAAGGGGCGGTACACTGCAAAAGGCTCTGTAAATATTGCTTGCTTGTTTTGTAAATCTTCTAAGATAAACTTTATAAAAATCACCTAGCTGCTTTGACCTTCAAAAATATGGAAACGAGGCTGAAAGAAAGGCTGGATTTATAATTTCAAAAATTATCTGTTTCAGGAGAGGGCAGCCTTGGGGAAATCATTGGCATAATCTGAAACCATCTCAGCACATCATAAATCAGTGTGCATATCTGTCAGCTATTTCATATTCCATTAGATTGAAACTACATGTAGGCTTGTGGCATGGACAGCAGCTAAATTTAATCCTTCCTAGCCACTCTTCAGCTCCTCCCCAACCCCTGGTCTTAGCTAATAGGGCATTTGAAAATTTAAAAGCGTTTGGTATTATTTTATAATTTTGAATTTGGTTTAATAAGGGGGGGAAACCCTCTTCATAAAAACACCTTTAAGAATGAAATAGCTGATACTGGGAAAGTGAAACAGTTTAAGGGAGACTTGACATGAAATTTTAACCATGTAAATCATACTGGATTGGAAACTGCCTTTTTGAATCTGAAAGGAATCATAATCACTTAATTTTGAAAAAGCATAGCACATAATACTAGAAATAATGTAGAGTGTTTCTACATTACATGTTCGAGGATTATAGCTCACCTTACAAGTTTTTGAGTAAATATGAGCTAATACTAAGGAAAGAAATTATAGTCAATAGCAAAGTTGACATCAGAAAGGAATAGCTTTTTACATGTTAGGCCCCAGAATTTAGGAGTGCAAGTTGATTTCTACAATGCAAGGAAAATAGTATCCATGAAACAGATACAACTGAAGAATGAAGACAATCTGAATCACAAACATACTGTATTATCATGTTACAGACAAGCATTCACTCATCTAATAATATACTATTATAATATAATAATATAAAAATGCCTCCACTCCTACTTTTAAATGCTAAATGAAACAAGATTGCTTAAACCCAAAGCAGGATATGAGTTTAGAGCTTTCAACTGCATGAATGGAAAGGTACCTTAGTTTGAATGAAATCCATTCCCACCACCTAATTTAGGAAAAACTAAATTAGAAAAATCCTAGTTTGCAGCTTTGCCAATTTGGAGACAGACTTTCAGAATGACAAAAGAAATCCCTTCATTATTTGTTAATACTGACATCTGTTTCTCTGAAGGTTTTCAACAGACTCCTGGGGCATGCATTAACCTCTGCCATTTTATTTGCTTGTTTGTTTTAACCAGGGGTGGGATTCTACCAGTTCGCACCTGTTCGCTAGAACGGTTGTTAACATTCTAAGCAGTTCGGAGAACCGGTTGTTAGAAGAAATTACTGGCCTAATCCTGTAAGGAAGGCAGGAGACTGCCTCTCCATTAACCCTTATTACATTCTTGGCAGAACTAGACTTCCTGTCTCAGGAACTTCTCTGGAGTTTTTTCCCCCTCCTTTGCTGGTACTTTGCTTGTGCGGAGTTACCATTCAAAGTTACAATGGCACTGAAAAAAGTGACATGATCTTTTTCACACTTACGACTGTTGTAAGTGATATTGAGTTGGCCACGCCCAACCAATAACATGACCACCAAGCCACGTCCACCCAGTCACATGACCATCAAGCCACACCCACCAACTAAGCCACACCCACATAACCGGTTGTTAAAAAATTTGAATCCCACCCCTGGTTTTAACACAACTATAGTGTCCTTGAACTATGAGCTATGAAACTCACAGTTCACGGTCTCTGAGATGTGAATCCTTATGGAGGTAGATATATCCTAAGAACTAGAAAAAGATGCTTCATTGCACCTAAAAAGCTCAGGATGAAAAGTGGGAAAGAAAATTAAGAAAAAAAGTCAATCTGGTTTAGTGGTTAAGGTAACAGGCTAGAAACCTGGATACTGCGAGTTCTAGTCCCTCCTTTTTCATGGCTAAGGCCAGCTGGGTGACCTTGGGTCAGTCACACTCTCACAACCCAACTCACCTCACACAGTTGTTGTTGTGAGGAAAACAGGAGGAGGAAGGGGAATACGTTTTCCCTCTTGAGTTATTTCTAGAAATAATAAAGGTGAGATTGATGGATTGAATGAATGAATGAATGAATGATCTACTCTACTTTTTCACTGGGAAGAGTTCTGCTCTATTTTATGGACACAGTACTTCAATCGCAGTCAGTAAGTAAGCACATATTTTTTCACATGTCTGTGGAGGGGATGACAAACTAGACAAGTGTTTGAAACACCAAAAACTAGACTGTGTCTTCTCCTTCAGTTTTCCCCTTGCATAGAAACTTTCAAAAGCTACATTTCTAAACACTAACAGGAAAAAAAAACCCTGCAGCCATGCAGATGAATCCATATTATGCAATTACTAGATCGTATGATTTAGATTCTATGTGGAAATATTTCTGGCACTACGCTAATACCCTTGGCCCTATTTCAGAGTTTTATGCACACACCCTGCTTTTAGTGTCCTGTCTAATTCAGCCGTCTCTTCCAGTTGGAAAGCAAAAGAAGTTTTGGAATTGCTCTGAACAGAAGGGAGACGGGACAGTGAAGAATACAAACCACCCACTATCTTCTTTAAAGATTAGGATTTTGCTGGATTATAGCCATAATATGGTGGGGGTGGTGGGAATTACTGAAGTCATTTCGGCTAACTTCAAAGAATTGGAAAGAATTATAGTCTTAAGCACTGCATCTGTGGAAAATATTAAGAACTAAAATATGTAAAGTGAATTAAATAGCTGGGCCACCCTAAGGCAGCAGCTGCACGAATGTATTGAATTACAGAAACTATAACCTAGAAATTTTAATGTCCTGTGAACATTATTAGGTTACAGCAAATGTTTAAGCTAAAAACAACTGCATGGGATTTGTATATAGGAGCTGCTTCCGGTAGCAGGAATGAATCTGGGTAAAGGAACTTATTAATTAAGATTAATAGATACAAACTTCAAATCTCTGGAACCCAGATTTCTTCAGAAGATCTTATCTTTGACTCTGTTGTGTTCCTCTAGTCTCGCAAAACATATCTTTCAAAAGCTATTTGCCATTCACCTTGGGTGCTTTTGTTATTTTAGGTATATTAAAATACCTAAGAAGTATTTGAATAACCAACCTAAATATTTATATTCTTTTCCACCCCTTACACAGAGTAATATGAAAAATGTATGTACTTATTCACAAACAAAGTCAGACTGATTTTAGGATATTTTGACCTGTAAGTACCACAATAGAAACGAACTGGAATGGAGCGGAGGGACACCAACGGCCAAACGCTAGCAGAAGTGCTAATAAAAGAACAGGAGGAGGTACTGTACTACAAATGGAAAAAATGTCCCACCGCAAAATTCAGAGGTGAAAATATTTCAAAGGTTTCCAGAGGTTCAGTTGCTTCTCTTGCTTCTTAACTGAGATACTCTTACATTTAATTTAAGTATCTTCTGCTGTACAATGCAATGAAACAATTCCATGGGTTTCCCTTTTTTCCTTTTTTTAATCAATTTACATGTTTTGAAATTTGTCTGGTTACTTCTGGCATTACAAATAGGAAGAGGAGGAGGAGGAGGTGGAAGACAAGAAACATCCAGAACAGAGCAGGGATTGCCTTTTCATATGCAATAAAGTAGGGGTCTCCAACCTTGGCAACTTTAAGACTTGTGGACTTCAACTTCCAGAGTTCCTCAGCCATTTTCCACAAGTCTTAAAGTTGCCATGGTTGGAGACCCCTGCAATAAAGTACTGTTCACTCACCTCTACAAGCATGCCCTCATTATTGTTGACTCATGTCAGGCCTCAGTTGGCCCTAAGCATTATTGCACAATGGCTATGATTCTTGACTCTTTGACTATAGTACTTTTTAATTCCTTTCCTGAGAATAAAATTTGCAAATACAGCAGCAAGATCACAATGAAGATCCCTGTTTTTTCCACTCAAAAGAAAAGTTACGTAGGTGATTATCCAACATGGTAGCTTAACTTTTCAGGGTTTGTGTCACTCCTTATTTCATTTCACCAAATTTGGCAGTCATGGGAGCTGCTCTATTCCAACACACCACTCTAAAATTACGTCTGACTTACAGGAAATAGGAAAGAAGCATCTCCACAGAAATGTATACAGTATGGTTTGAAATTCCAGCCAGAACATTATAAACAAATCAAGTAATTCAGCTGACTGATCAATGGACCACTGATGACAAGTTTAAAAACTTCAGATTCTTGTCCATGTTAAAAGAACCCAATGTTCCACAGTCCTGCTAAGCTCTTGAGACTTAATTAAAAACAAAACATACCACTGAAGGAGAAAAAAAAGGAAGACATGACAATTCATTCATCCATGAAAAGCAATGACTAAGAGAGGTAGAAAAACGGAGGACCCTAAATTCCAGCCAAAGAAAAATACTGTTTTTCATATATTTAGATTGTGTTTCCCACAATGGATCCTTAAAATACCTTTTTGTAGCCAACAAGTAGAGACCAAGACATTACTCAGCTTTAATAGTTGAATAATATGAATGTCATACTGTAATTTAAAATATTCTGCATTTTATTTTTACCTTGTGATCATATGGATTGTATGAATGAAATAGTTTGGACAGTTCTTTTGTTCTTTGTTTCTTCTGTAGGGAAAGAAGAAAAACATGATTTTAAAGGAAAATTAGAAATGCAGAAATAACACATTTTAATCTCTGTTCAGAAAATACCAATTGATACAATTTTGCAAAGAAAAAAATAATCCCTGCTCCCTTAAAAATCGTTCTCTTCATCTAAGGAGAGAAATGAAATTACTAGCAAGCAACGTAAACAGATATCGGTATGCAAGGAGTACCTTCTCCAGTTCATTACACCTGTGTATATATTTTTGGTCAGTGATAGTAACAAAACCAGAAACTCTCCCCACCATGACTAGCACTGATGATTCTACCTAGTTAGGGTAATGAAACGTCTGCAAGAAAAGAAGCAAGCTCAGAGAGCACCAAGGACCCCCTCATTTCAAACCTGAGCTCCTGGGAAGAAGGAGGTTCTAGTCCAGTGTTTCTCAATCCCAATAACTTTAAAATGTGCTGATTTTGACTCTCAGAATGCTGCCTGGGGAAATCTGGGAGTTGAAGTACCACACATATTAGAGTCGCCAAGGTTGAGAAACACCGCTCTAATTCATTTTCAGCTGCAAAAGTTCGCTGTGCAACCATTCTCTCTCAGCCAGACTACCTTATATGTTCACAATTGTGGGGAAAAACAGGAGAGACCATTCTCTGCACTGATTCTGAGCTCATGGACTAAAGGCAAGATATGTGGTCCTCAACTTATGCTTGGTCATTTAACATAAAGGGCTAAATGGTCATTTAACATAAAGGTGCTGTCATAAAGGGTGCTTTATGGCCTGTAAAGCGGTTCTGGCCATTGTAAAATGTTGCACTTCCCCCCTGGTCACATGACTGCCTTTCAGTTGCTTGGCAATGTTTGCCTTGATGAAGAAAGTCAACACCAACAGCTTGCAAATGGAGGGGACATTGCATTTGAGGTCTGTTCCTCCTCCACACTAGAGTCGTAGACCTTAAATCTGGCAAAAGCGTTAGCGAATGCCAGAGTTTAGAGCCTTTCAGAATGTTGGTGTTTGCTAGCCTGGCCCCTCGCCTCTGGATTTCTTTCGTTTCTTTAACCATGGCTTACTGAATAAGTTATAATTGGCTGAGTTCACATACTGGCTAAATTCGTGAATGATAGGTTTGTTGAGAGTTACTCATTTTGAAGATCTACTGTTATCTCTGATATCTCCAGCTAGTGTTGCAGAGGAATAATAGAGGCGGAAAGTTCCTGTTTGTGAACTTCCCAGAACATCTAGGTGTTTGCTCTTAGAAACAAAACATGGAAGTAGGATGGGACCTGCCTTAATCTAGTTTGGCTATTTTTATGTTCCTACGATATGTTCATAAAGTATCAAATGCAACCTATAATGTTTGGATTCACATGTTCTATTAAATCAAAATGAAATAAAACATTTTGGGAATTAGCATTACATGTGAACCCAAACCATAAAATTGGCTCCAGACTAAAAATCTACTCATACAACACAACTGTTCTACCATTTCCATTGATTTCATCTGTTGGATGTGGCTTGGAAAGGTAAAATGGAAGGGGGAAATCAGTGAAATCAAACAAGCTGAGTTATATTCTATTTTGTTTGAGCATGTCTCTTGACTTTTAGGAATAGATTTTAAAGAGTGTAGAGAGCTGCAGTGAGGAATAAGACCTACTGCACATGTAGAATTTCATTCTTGTAACTCTAAATCCAATCCACTTATTGAAACCAGAACATCGTAGAAAAAATAAACGACATATGGAAAATGAAAGCAGGTTTTACTACAGTATAAGGTCCTGCTTAGAGATTCAAATGTTATTAACATTCTCATTTTACAACAATTCAATTTGACTCAATTTATATTAAATTCGAATAATAATAATAATAATAATAATAACAACAACAACAAATAAAGTTAGGGGGAAAAAAAGAAAACAAATCTCTGTGTACATCATATGTGGATGCAGTAGAGCAGCAATCCCCAACCTTTCTGGCTTTGCGGACCAGGGGGGGAGAGAAGGAGAGGAAATGGTTACGTGCAACCGATGGGCGAGGACATGTGTGCTCACAGCTCCATTTGCAAAGCTATGGGCATACGTGACCGCCACTTGCACAAATGGAGTCCGGTGTGCACGCAACTGCAGATGTATGCTCTGTGCTCACCCACTGTGCTCACCCACTGCTTCCACGGTCTGGCTCCGTATGGGTCAAAGCCTGGTAATGGGCTGTGGATCAGGGATTGGGAACCACCTCTGAAGTAGAGCTTTAGCTGGGGGACAGCTCTTATTCTAGTGGTCAATATTGGAAAAGGTAAGCAGAAATAGATTTGATTAATATTTCAATGTGAGATTATCAGGAAATCTCTAAATGGGACTGGGGAGTAAATACCAAACTACTTATTACCAAGAAAATAATATGTGTCTATGCCCAACAGGACTTGTACTGAGGGAATCTTTACTTTACCTGATCTCAGGTAATGCAGGTCAATTTTACATACCCAGATTCCTGGCAAATGAGAAATTCCATTCTCCATTTAAGGGAAGGAAAGAAGGATGGGGTAAAAGCATGATGACAAATAGAGAAAAGATACTTCTGGTGAAAATAAATGGACCAATATTCACCAAAGATTGATATCTTCAGGGCGACAGAGAGAATCACTGTCCGATCACTGAGATTGGAAACAGATTATTTGTAGATTTGAGCAGATCATCTTACTGTGATATGTCCCTTCTCTAACATTATTTTGCTCTGTTTCTCCTGTCCTCTGATTTGTATCATTGGGAACCTGGTGCTATAAAAAATATTATAACGAGAGTCCTGATGTTGTAGTAGTTAATATTGTACATCATGTACATATGTAATATAGGTTTTATATAGACAGTATAATGATGTAAGACTTTTAAATAAAACTTTGAACTAAATAAGCTCAATAAAACTGAATAACGTCCCCCATCTATTGCAAAATAAAGGGTTTAAAAAAATTAGCAGCATCCAATATATCTATACCATGTGGATAATATTTCACTTAAAATGTTTTGTTTTTTAAAGAAGGAAAAGGAAAAAGCAACTCTTACTATTTGAGCTGGAACCTGAGGCATTTTTGCAGCTGGAGTCCCAGGGCGTGGATAAAACTGGTTAATAAAAAGACTTGGAAACCTGTATTCTTCAACAAGTTTCATGGTTTCTTGAAAATCTTCATCGGTTTCCCCTGGAAACCCACAAATGATGTCTGTAGCAATTGTTATTCCAGGTACTCTGAAATGAGTGGGAAAAAAAATTAAGTTGAATACCAGACAACTTTTCCTTCAGCAATATGGACAATTAGTTTTGCATCACATTACTTTAATATTTCTGAAGTGCATCGCCTGTGGAAAATAACATTACAAATATCTTCATATACATATAAAAGTCTGCACAGCAACCTTCCACAAGCAATTTAAATAGCGTGGTTTCTCTCCAAGAAACTTTGCAATTTCATTTCATCAGGGGGAGGTACAATTCCTGACAGAAATTTCTCAGCATTCCACAAAACAAAACAAAATCTACAACCTAAAATTCCCAAGGTTTACTCAGAGAAGCTACCACTGCCAAATGGTTTGGATGCTTATAATACACATGACTGCCAAGGCTTTAAAGAAGTAGCTAAACAGAATACATTTTGAAAGACAATATATCTTCTCTTTTGGCAACGCAAGATGGATCCAATCTGAAAAAAGGAAATTAATTTTTAGAAACGACTTCACTTGAGCATGTGGCAGTGCTGCAACTGGGAGATGGAAAAGGGTAATGCTAGATTTAACTTTGTTAATCTTCATTACTGTTTGTTGTTGTTCATCTGAAGCCAAAGGCCAATCAAGTTTGTGCAGAGCTGTATTGTTTTCCTACCAAGAATCAGGCCATTCCATACAAGACCCTGAGAATGATATGCTGAAAGTTCTCTTCCCCTTCAAGAAGGGGGCAGGACCCCCACACCACAACCTCTGGGTGTTTGGGTGGTGAAAGTAGAACGGCAGCCATATATTTATATTCAACTTTGTTGCGGCTTTACTTAACTGCAAACTGCCTTGACTCTTTGGATGTCTGAATCAGTGTGTGTTTCTGTGTAAATAAACAATCTTGAAGCATCCCTAGAAATATCTTTAAACACAGTTGGATTCTGAATGGATTTTTTTTAAGGCAGAGTAGTAGTGCATAGCATGAAATAATGCATGGACATCTATTTCATACTGGTGGTTCTTACATCAATTTTTGCATTTGAAGACAGATGACCATATATCAAAAACTGCTACCACATGAAGGTGTGGGGAACCTGTAAAAACTGTATAATGTACTGTTCCATTAGTGCTACTAAGCTCAGCTACTGTTGTCAGCGCTGATAGTTGTAAACCTTTACACATGCTCTGCCTATGTGCTTCAAGGGGAACACAAAGGAACACAAGTTCTTGGTTTTTGTTTTTTGTTTTAAATCTCATTCTACTTAATGAACATTTATTTCTATGACTACCCTTTTTATAGTAATTGTATTAACAATTCTAATTACAACAATAAAAACGGAAAAATAAAGATAAAAAGTAGAAAAGTACAGAAAAGAAGGGAAAAATGGAAAAAATAGAGTAAAAAGGAAAAGAAAAGTAATATGTAAAGAAGTGACTTTCCAACTTCATCATATATATAATTTTAGAAACTTATCACTTTCTCTTAAAATACAACAAATGATCTCTGCTTTCTTGTCTACAAATAAATCCCTAAAGCATAATCATTTCCATCCTGGTATCAGTCCTTTATGGGTTACCAAATTTAACAACATATTTATTTATTTATTTTAAAATAAACTTTATTAAATACAAAAAAGTTAAAATATACAAATATACAAACTCAAAAGACAAAGATTCATACAAACAAACGTCACAATACTCTCTGTGCTAAAACTAATTAAACTTTCTTTTAATACATTTGGCAGTGAGTTAAATATTTCCTAAATTATACTATGTGGCAGTTATTTCTTATTTCCTATAGGTTCTCTGTTAATTACATTCTATCAAAGATATTGTTCTGTTATTAATGTTTATTGTTGGACTATACTTATTTTTACCAATGAATTCCTTCTATTGGTTGATTAAAGAACGAGGGAATCTAGAACTAACATTACCAATTCCTGTCTGTTGTTGTATGTATCATAATCTGTTTCATAAATTTGTTTTCCCTCCTTGATTCCCCCTTTCATTTTTTTTACGTTCTAGACAATCATACCATTTATTCCAGATGGAGTAAAATTCCGCCTCCTCCTTTCCTTTTAATTTTAATGTGAGTTTTTCCATTTCTGCACATTCACAGATATTTTGAATAATAAATTGTATTGGTGGTATATTAGGCGATTTCCAGAATTGAGCCAGTGAAATATGTGCCGCTGTTAGGATGTGGATAATCAAATATTTTACTTTGGAGGGATAACCTTCCTTAATGATACCCAGAAGATACAATTTAGGTTCCCACTCCAATCCACCCTGGATGATTTCTTCTAACCAAGTTTTGATTCTGTTCCAAAAATTTTCAACCACCGGGCATGTCCACCAGAGGTGGAAGAAGGTACCATGATTCCCTTTGCATTTCCAAAAAGTTGGATTGGATGTTGGATATATTTTTGCTAATCTGGAGGGTGCTAGATGCCATCTATATTTCATTTTATATAGGTTCTCTTTATAAGACACAGATTTAGTTATTGTAAGATTTGTCTACCAGATTTTTTCCCAGTCTTCTAAGTCTGAATTATGCCCAAAATTTCTTGCCCACGCTATCATTGGTCCTTTCATAATTTCCTCAGCTAATCCATATTCCAATAGATATATAATTTAGATACCATATTTTTATCTGGGCCCCAAAGTATCTTATCAAATTTAGTGCTCTTTGTTTCTATTCCAAATTCTTTTAAATCTTTCTCATATCTTATTGCTGTTTAGAGATAGGACCAATGATCAATCATTATTTTTTTGGTTTTCTAACTCTTGGGTCGATTCGAGCTTTCCTTCTTTGTCTAAAGTTTGATGATATTTGAGCTTTTTACTGATGTCCATTGTATTAGGGTGGAACATTGCCTCCATTGTTGACAACCATAACGGAACTTTAATGTAATGGTTTTCCCTAATATCAGACCAGGTTTTTAATCAAAGATTTGTGTAAAGTATGTCTCTGAAAGTATGAATGACTTTTACTACTCGGGTTCCACAAGAAGGCATGTCACCCTATTTGTAAGTCATATCCTTCTAATATTAGAATTCTTTTGTTTTCCAATTTAATCCAATCTTTTCTCCACACTAACATTGCTGCTTTATAATAGGTCTTCCAGGCAGGGAGTCCAAAGCCGCCTCTGCTTTTATTATCTTGTAAATAAGTTTTCTTAATTTTTGACTTCTTGCCTGCCCAAATGAATTTCATGGTAACTTTATCCAATTTTTTGAAAAACAATTTATCCAATAATATAGGGATCGTTTGGAATAAATAAAGCAATTGTGTAGAACATTCATTTTAATTGTGGCAATTCTGCCTAATAATAAAATCTGCATTTTGCTCCATATCTCCAAATCTCTTCCTATTTGTTGTAATAGTTTAACATAATCGTCTTCTTTCAAAGCTATTTTTGGTTCTTAACCATATACCTAAATATTTAATCTTATTCACAATTTGTAGTCCCATTATTTCTTCTAGATCTTTTTGTTTATTATTTGTTATATTTTTAACTAATTTTCAACCCTGCTAATTTACTGAATTTATCAATTTCTTTCAATAAGGTTGGTCCTGATTCTATTGGGTCCTCTATAATAAAGACCAGATCATCAGCAAATGCCTGTAATTTATATACTTGTCTTTTAATCTTAGTACCTTTAATTTCCTCATTCGTTCTAATTCTGTCCAATAATGTTTCTAATATTGTAATGAAAAGCAGAGGCGACAATGGGCATCCCTGCCTGACACCCCTTTTTATTTCAAAAGGATTGGTAAATTCTCCATTTATCATTACCTTTGCTTTCTGGGTTAAATAGATCGAATCTAACATCTTTATGAAGTTATCCCCAAATTTCATCAAGTTTATCTGGTGTTTCATAAATTCCCAGTTTAGGTTGTCAAATACCTTTTGTGCATCCAAGAAGACAAGAGCAACTTGGCTTCCTGGATGCGTTGCATAGTATTCTAATATATCAATTCTCATTCTTGTATTATTTCTAATCTGTCTCATGGGAAGGAATCCATTCTGGTTGGGGTGAATTCTTTCATTAAATGTTGGCTTCAGTCTTTCTGCCATCACACTCATAAAATTTTTGTAATCTGTGTTTAAAAGAGATATTGGTCTGTAATTTTTTTACCTGGGTGGCATCTGCACCCTCTTTAGGGGTCACTATAATATGGGCCTCCTTCCATGATTCTGGGACTCTTGCTTCTAATAATACTTTGTTGCAAATCTCTAGGAACAAATTTTCTAGTGGTTCTCCAATCTCTTTGTATAATTCGCTTGGCAACCCATCTGGGCCTGGAGTTTTATTGCTTTTTTGTCTTTTAATCGCTTCTTTTAACTCATCTAAAGTTATTTCCTTATTTAATATCTCCCTATTATCTTCCGTTAATGGCTGTAATGTGCTTTCTTTCAAGTATTCCTCTAATTTGTTTGCATCTATTCCTTCTTGGTTATATATATTCTCGAAATAGTCTCTTGCAATTGTTTTCTTTTTCTCCAATTCCATCTCTAATATTCCATTATTATCTTGCAATTGGTATATAGTTCTTTTTTATTTTCTTTTTTTCAATTTATACGCTAGCCATCTTTCGGGTTTGTTCGCGTGTTCAAAATAATTTTGTTTTGTTTATAGCATTGTCTTAATTAAATCTTCCTGGTCTAATATAGTCAATTCATGTTTAAGTAATATCAAGTCATTTTTAATTTGTTCACCCTCTGGGATTTTCATTAATCTATCTTCTAAATCCTTTAGTCTTTTAATTAACAAGTTTTGTTTCTTCCACTCTTCTTTATTTCTGTTGGCTGTATAGGCTATCGATATACCCCTTAGGTACGCTTTCATTGTGTCCCAAAGAATTTGCAATGAGGTATCTTGTTTTTTAATAAATTTTAAAAAATACCTCTAATTCTTCCTTAATTTTTTGAGTGTATCCTTTTTCTTTCAATAGTTGTAGGTTAAGTGTCCACCTAGCTTTCTTGTAAGTTTGAATTTTCCAAGTTATTTGCAATGGGTTATGATCTGCCCAAA